TTTTTCTCCTTGGCGCCAGTCGCAGTGAGGTCAGGGTGACCGAACTCGAAGATTTAGGCGCCAATCTGCCCACCACCAGCCAAATGAAGCTAGGCCTGGATTTGCAGATCGGGGGATGTTTGAACACCGAACTGGGTAAATGTGCGAAGCCTGCAGAATAGGTGTTTTGTTCTTTTTTGTTCCCGGTGCCTTGATTCCATGTTGGCAAATCTGGCAAACAGCTTTCTCTCTGGGGATCTAGTTGATTATTTACAGTAATTCTTGTTTTTTGGGGGGGCTAGGCGGACTGGACTTCTAGGGTGTCGTTTGTGTCCGTTTCCCCGCACTGCACATTTGCCACACCCAACAGCAACAAAAGCTTCCTAAAATACCACTCGGTGGCCAACCCTCACTATGCGTTGAAACAAGGACTCGCTTAGAGTACTGAGACTACTGGGACTACACAGGCCCAGAAGGAATGGGGTGTTGCACGTTTTTGTTAGTGGCATCCTTGGCAGGTCTGTCCCAGAAAACCTGTAAGAGTCATTAAACAAGGACATCACGATTTTAGAGATGCCAGCCTGCAACCTAACCATCATCATCCACTGGGCCCTGGTACTAGGATAGACCCAAGGCATCCCACCATATCCACCCATCCTTGTCAAACTGAGGACTTGCCTTTCTGCCACCAACATGTGCAGTGATAACTACGACTGCCAAGCTGCGAGAGCATCCAAGTCTCTTGGCATCTTTTGCAGCGAGTCTTGTCTTGTTAACAAAACAAATATAGATCCGACATCCCGATATCCGATATCGATACCAAAGCCTACCAAAGCGTCCAATTAGGATCTTGCTTGTGTTTGTTGTTACATGTCGCTCTTAGCTCCCATGGTCAGTTTTCCGAGGCCTTCCAATTTCCAGGGGTGCACCTTTGATGCCACTACGGCCGTGGACGCCACTGTCACCGGCGTGCTGATGGACGGCTTGTGCTACAGGAACTTTGTGGTGGAACAGAAGAACTTCAACGGACAGCCGGGATGGGCACCTGACAAAGTGCACGTGCGGAGTGAGGCACATCTCCACACGCGGGCCTGCCTGGTGGTCAACTATTGCGCGAAGACGGGGTTCTACCTCTTACGGCCCACCACAGGGGACTATGCCTATGAAGCGCAGATGGAAGAAGGCACCTCAGCCGAAAAGGTCTTTGACTTTTTGATCGAAGCACGTCACTCCTCCTGCACCACGACCACGACGACGGAGAAGGCAAACATGGACTCAGCTCAAAAAATGCAGGCGATTGGAGCTTCCATGCTCCTCGCGTTTTTCCTTTCATTCAAGTGAACGTCAGCCAACTGGCCGACCGAGGAATTTCCCTCGGTCTGGACAAAGCTTTCAA